ACTCCAGCCAGGGTGACAGAGAGAGACTCCGTCTCAAAAAGAAGAAAAAAAGAAAAAAGAAAAACAAAATGAATACACCACTATTTTATAGTGCCTAAAACAGCTAGCTTATTTTAAAAGTAACCAACACCAAGAAAGTCCTAGTAGTTTTATACGTACCTATGTCAGACAATTTTTAAAAAGTAGTAGTAATTAAATTCAACGGCCATTTGGGTGGCTTCTTGTTTAAGGCATGATACCAAAAGCCAAAAGGAGCTCAAAGATGAAGACTACTTGTCATTGCCTTGAAAAAATTAAAGTATAATAAATCATGACATGGAAGTAACTGTAATATAGAGCAGAGTTTTAGCCTTATAAATGAGAGATCAGGTAATATAATAGAAGGGGCAGATAGGAAGATTTTATGGAGGAAGTAACCTTTCAACTGGACCTTGAAGAATTAGCAAGACTTTGACAAACAAAGGGGAGGATATTCCAGGCACAAGGAACTAAATAACATCCACGAAAAAAATCAATAAAGCCTATGCCTATGTTGACATTTCTGTTCTTAACTGAATGGTCACTTCAGTTACCTGAAAATTGTCTCTCTTCCTTTGAGTTGTTAATCTAAAGTTGTGCTTCTAAACAGAGCTATTTTTATTTCCAGAAGTATCACCTACCAAACTAGAGATCAGCCACTGTCTCTAAGTTATAGCCCAATTACCTCACGTGGGCCTAACCCTAGGTGAGTTGAAGGCCTAGGGAGAATTTAAGGGTGTGTAAATTCCCAAGAATTAAAAAATTTAGAAATTCTTACCAGTCATGCTGAAAGACAGCATGGCCAATAGCAGCAAGTGTAAAGGCTCTAGAAGAGATGATTGGGACTTGGTTATCTACTAATGTTGAACCTAGTTTCAATTCATTGTCCTTTTTGAGACTTTCATCAACTATTCTTAGAGCAATAGGTTCTGTCAGTGCCTGGTACATAGTAGGTGCACAATAAATATTAGGTAAGAGACAGAACTTTTTTTTCAACATGGCTTTCTACCGTCTTTGTAATAAAAACTATTCACATATTATATTAAAAGTACCTGCTTTGGGCCGGGCGCAGTGGCTAACACCTGTAATCCCAACGCTTTGGGAGGGTGAGGTCAGGAGTTCAAGACCAGCCTGGGCAACATGGCAAAACCCCATCTCTACTAAAAATGCAAACATTAGCCAGGCATGGTGGTGCACACCTGTAATCCCAGCTACTCGGGAGGCTGAGGCAGGAGAATCACTTGAACCTGGGAGGCGAAGGTTGCATTGAGCTGGGATCATGCCATTGCACTCCAGCCTGGGCGACAGAGCGAGACTCTGTGGGGAAAAAAAAAAAAAAAGTACCTGCTCTGAACACTCAATTCTACATTTATTTGTAGCCTTTTATGTCCAAAGTATTGATACTTTGTGTACCTCTTCAGTTTGCAGGATGTTTTCTCATACAGTATCTTATTGGATTCTCACAACAGTCTAGCGGGATCAGTAGAACAAATACCAGTATTCCTGTTTTACAGATGGAACTACTGAGATTCGTGGAGGTCAGAAGACTTGTCCAAGGTCAGAGAACTAAACCTAGATTTAGGCTTAGACATGTCATCAGTCCTACTTTTCACAGTGTCACAGTTTCCAGACATTAGCAGCATTCCTTACTAGTCTTGCCTAATATTTCTGGCATCAACCACATTAATGTGACATGGTTTATATAATAGCTAATTATATGTCTATCTTTCTATCTATAATCTATCTATCAAGACAGCAATATGTGTAAACAGAAATGACAAAAGCATTTGTATTTTGTTTTCAACTATAAAAACATACTTTTCATTAAAAAATTCTAATGAGAAAGCATTGATTTAAGCTTAACATTATGGTAATGTTCATGAATAGATTATGGAACAGTTAGAAAAAATTTTAGCTAAGTACCTTAATATTTTTCAGAATATGCTTCTAGATTTTGCTAGAATTGGATCAGTGAGTTATTTCTGAGCGTAAATGACATGTGGTGCTAATTGTATTCATGACATAAAATGTCCTCAAGTTTTCTTTGGCCAATGGACTGAGAACAAGGAGCCTGCCTTACATTTCACAGATCTAAATAATAATTTGATGGTTAGCTCATTACAGGGAATGTGGAAGTGTAAAATAGCCATAGTACATCTATCCTGGAATTTTAGGGTTCCTACAGAATCCCTTCATGATTTGTTTATGATGTAGAGATGATTGACTCTGTCAGTTACTAATAAATGGTAAATAAAAAAGTAACCTGTGATATTAAAGTACTACATTAGCTACATTGTGATTAAATTACAGTAACGCCACCAGCTATAAACCTTTATAGAATCTTCTCAACCATGCAGTAATTCTCCTAACTATACTATTATGTAGAGCACAAATATTTCTTTGTAAGTCCAAAGCAATACATCAGGGAAGCGTTTACTGCTGAAGCTAGATTGAGAGTAAATGCATCTTGGGTTGCTATGAATAAAAGCTCTAGCTTCTCATTACTTTATGACAAGACACAGAAATTCACTTTACTTTTCATTTAAGGTTTTCGGCTTCCGTTTATAGATGTATGCCTTCACGCTTTTATTCCCTTCTTGCTTCAGCCGTACGTAATAAATGATTATAAATTTTCACATTTGACCACCTCTCTGCTAGTCTCATGCTTAATGCACAAAGTTAGGAAGCTGCAGGTAAAATTTCACAAACACTTTTATTTATGATGTTGTCCTTGGTAACGGAAATTTCAATGTACTGAAATGAAAAGTATGATTAAAGGGATACGACGTCCTGACAAGGATAGTAGAGGGCAGCCTTCTATTTCCTACTGAAAATATATAATACTTTTTTGACATCAATTTCATAGAGAATAGACATGGGTTAGTCGTGGAAAAAAGACACAAACATGTTTCCAACTTCAGTTTTCTTGAATGTTTGCTCTTATAACTTATATTAGAAATATCTCCTCTGAATTGATGAACTTGTGAATTGAAAAAAATTTTTATCTCAATTAAAATGTAATATGAAGAACAGAAATTGAGGACAAATCTAATTTGGAACACATGAGTTCTTTTTCTGGAAAGCAAAATAAGTGGAAAAATACTGATTTTTTCAAACCATTTAAATTATTGCAATAACTGATTTCATTATTTTAAATCTCTATGTAGAAAGAATCAAGAAAGACTGGAAAAGTTAAAAACGTTCATAAACATAGTTGTTTAGTTTCTTGTGTATTTCCCAAAAATTGCCATTAAGCAAACAAAATGCAACCCTAGTGTGTTTCCTGTTTATAAAGTTAAATGTCTGAGTATTTGAGGTTATATGATTTCCCCTTTTCCTATCATTTAGGGGGAAAAAGAAATTAAACAATTGGTAGGACTTCCCCTAGTAAAGTCACTTCTCAAATAAAATTCTACTGCTACAAAGTACAGTTTCTGTGCCTGGAAATTAGAATTGCTTGAAACATACTAGTTTCACCCACAAGTCTTATTCTAGTCTCCAACCCAGTTAATAAAATGTGTTATCAGGAGACTTGAGTTCAAGGATCATTATAACTCCTTCAGCCTTGTACTGCCACAGCAGGGCGTGAGAGCTATTTCCTACTCAGTGGAAGAAGATATAACATCTTGATTTCAAATTTCTGAAAACAAGATATTGTGGAAACTCTAAAATATATATATCCCCTTGATTTCATATCTATGGAAATAAGAAACTGGACTTAGTTTAAATAGCTACAGATTTAGCCAGGATGTGGCCAATCTCTGGCACTGATACGTGGATTATCTTTAGGATATTCTGTGTCTCTAGCTTCAATGTCATGAATTCACTCACAGTGTATCTACTGAATTTCCACGTTGTGCGGAGCACCATGCCAAGCCCAGGAAGGAGAGACAACACACAAAAAGCATCAAGCATAGCGATGTTGCTCAGGAGCGTACAGTCTGGCAAAGGAGATAAGACTTGCACATGAATAACTAAAATTACAAATCAGCAAATAATCAGAGCCAGATAAGGAAAGAGGGAAATTCCACGGAATTATGCTGCATGGGAAGGGCCATACACAACTGCCATGTGCTGGTTGCAGGGAGTTTGGGTGGTCTATTCGTCGGTCTCAGTTCATGGCTCGGGCAGAGGTCAGTAAACTCAGTAGATTTGAGCGCCGCCAGTTAAGGACCAGGAGCTAAAGCCCCTGCCATGTCCTTGGTGCCCCAGAGTGATCCAGAGCGCAGACAGAACAGAAAAGACAGGAAGAAAGAGGAAGAGGGATGGGCCTAGAGAACAGGAGGTAAGACAGCATCAAATGCTCAGTAATGTGAGTGTGATGACCCAGGGCAAGTTGGAAAGACCCTTGAAAGACACCTTGCCAGTTTTGCATTAATGAAAATAAGAGGATTTTAAAAGCCTAGGCAGAGGGCTTGCTGTATGCCACACTTCCACAGTCAATTACATTTTTAGGAAAGTATTGTACTCTTGCATAGGCTAAAAAAAATGTAGTCTGTGTAGCATTGCAACAGCTTCGCAGCTTTCTTCAATAACTGTTCCTACAAATACTTTCTGACAGCTTCCATTTGTTGCTCAGCTATTGCAGAACCCTGAAAAATATATTATGTCTCATGTCAGTTATAAAAATAACACCACAAATTATAACCAAAACAAAATTACCTAGTAATTATCATTTAGATGTCCATTTTAATCCTTTTCAGAGTTACCTTTACTTTAGCGTGCCTTTAGGAGCCAGACAGTTTAACACAAGGCAAGCTGGAGGGGTTTATTTAAATCTTTCTCTTTACCATGTGCTGTGATAATATCTGAAATCCACCCTTCTGAGCACTCTGTGACTGCCTTAATCTCAAGAGCACTTCTAAATACATTGAATACTAACAGCCTTAAATTTGACGAAAATAAGCATAGTAAACATGTGGTGTCAATTATGGGAAAACCCGAACAAAGGTTAGAGGAATACGAACAGAGCTCACATTTTCTTTTAACTTGTTAATGTCTCTGACCCTTTTGTACAAAAATCACTTTAATCAACATTATATACATTTCATTGTGGCCTTAACCATTTAACAGCCTGTAAAAAATGTTTGGCTATCAATTATACACATCAAGTTGATAAGCTGCAGGACTGGGGGCCATTTATGTTGGCAATTAAATCTGAGGGGACTTGAGGAGACCCACATGGTTAGCCAGCCCTCCCCTCTCCACCCGACTCAGCCTTTTTGAAGCTTCCAGAGATGAGGAAGCTTAATTAAACTTATCAGAGATCTCTTTTTCCATCCTAGAAATTGGAGAGCCATGATCATAGGTACAGAGATGTTCAAATCTAGGTCCTTCTTTCTCCTCCTCTTATACCATCCCCTCTCCCATGTACTCACATAGCCACAGTCACATGCACATACAGATTTTAGTCAAACAAATTTGTTTAAAATAGATTCTTAGGCCACCCACGGTGGCTCACACCTGTAATCTCAGTACTTTGCAGGGGTATGGGGGGGATTGCTTGAGGCCAGGAGTTTGAGACCAGCCTGGGCAAATAGGGAGACCACTTCTCAAAAATAAATAAATAAAAAGTAAAAATAAAAATAAGTAGATTCTTGACTTGCTTTGGGTCTCATCAGAAGCCAAAACAATCATCCAAGTCTAAGTATGGCCACTGATGTCTGCAGTGCTGGTGTGAGATGTGGGTCAGTGCACACCAGTGCTCCACCCATAATCACGAACCAGAGGCCACACCACGGCTTCCATCCTCCTCATCCTGTATAAAAGTTGATGGGGTGTGCAATCTAAAACGATAAGAAGAGATTCTCAATTAAGCGGTCTTGAACTGGTGCGGCTTCAGACCCAACTCAACAACCCCAAATCTTCTTTAACAATCCACATAGAGAAGAAGGACTAATGTCCAGCTGTGCTAACAAATAGTTTAAATGGCGTTCTGCATACATCTGAGGACTATGAAGGTTAGCACTCCAAAGCAGGTAAATATTTGGCTTCTTTTATTTTACTTCACGGATTCTTCCTTTCCTTTCCTTCCCTGCAGCCTCATACCCTGACATAAGAGGACCCAGCCACTGGATCTCAAAGCAAATGTTAAAATACTACTCCCTCCACATTCATTCAGCCCCTCAAATATTTAATTAGTGTCTGTCATATCTAAGGCATTATGCTAGGTGCTATTTTCAATTTATTACAACTACTTTTAATAATACAATATTCCATAGACAGAGTGTTAGAGTCAAATTCATCTTTACATGATGTAGTAGTAAATTCCAAAAAAAAGAACTTCCCTTTTAGATTGGGCAATGTGAGGAATTAGGGGGAAAAAAATTCTCCAAATGCCAGTTAGGAGCAGCCATCCACTCTTCGACCTTACAAGAGGTGGGTAAGGTGGGATTTTGATGTTCACAAGCCCATTAAGACAATTTTCAAATGCCATGGCTTGGCTGATACATAGAACATTAAGAATATTTTCAGGCAGTCTGCTGTGTGCAAGGACCACCTATTTTAATTGATGCATTTGACGGTAACAATGTTGTAGTATATGGTCTCTTCTTCCGTGTGTTCATGTGTTAAAATAAATAGTAGTGTACGTAGCAAGGGAAAGCGAGAAAACACATTGCCATATCTTTCTTAATATTGTACTATTGTACGATTTTAGCACCTTTTGGCTTTGCTCCTGAAAGCATGTTTTCTTCTTGTGCTTGTTCCTGGGGCAGTGTTCGACATACTAAACTAATGAATAAGTCATTATTTATTGGAAGACTTTGTATGTATGAATCGGAAATACTACTTCCCATCTAAAAATCTAGTTGTGTATATCTTGTGGAGGTAGATACCCATATAGATCAATTTTTTATTAAAAATGGGTATTTTGTTTAAGGGAACTTTTTAAAAATATCATTTCTATTCATAGACCCAACTGTTAACTATTTATTAAAATGTCAATGTCTAAAAGTCTCACATAGTTATAGTCTCCTACTCATATCCTCATGGGCTTAAAATCGGTCTGTGCACCCCCAAAACTACCTAAGAAAATGAGAGATACTAGTTGAAAAATATTAGCATGTCTGCTTTCTGATTTAATACTGGTTAGTTTTTGATGTTCAGTAAAATTGAGATTCCTTAAAAGTTTAACTTTTATGTGATTACTGTGAAATGCAGTAATCACATATTTGTTGATTAGATTTTATTATAAACAATACTTCATGGTTTTATGAAGTGTTACAAATTGCCTATAAATGAACTTGGACTATTTTAATTGGTTTAATAAGAGCCAAAAGGAAGAAAGTCTGGATTCATTTTTAGAATCTGAAAATATGTGGTGATAGAAACAAGGAAGAAAAGGGAGTTTCTTGGTTCTTTTCTCCACTCCAGGAGAGATGAAGCATACACATGAGTTATTACAAAGCATTGATCTGACTCCAACCTGAAGTTACCAAGGTTTTATAAGGCTGCAATAAAGCTTTCTTTGCATTAACCAGCCAAGCACATAAACATTTTAATGAACTGTTTTTACATGGTTCATTGGGCAGCTACCAGGCTACTATAATACAAATCACCACTCCGCCACATCCAGCTTTCTCATGATGGCTGTACTTTTTTCAGCTTACCAAATGCAAATTGAATATCACAGCTCTGGAGCTTAATCAAATACTTGACTATTCGAGCATAGGAAATTCCCAAGCCCACAGAATTTACTGTATTCTAAGATAGTCTATTCAAAGAACTGAATCTTTGAGAATTTCTACTTTCGAGCTTCTAAACCAAAAGTGAAGTCTATTGTGATAATCATTTGAGACCACTAAAAAATAAGAACCTCAAAGTCACCACTCTGTGTTAAAATGGTTTTAGGCAATGAATGACAGTGTTGCCATGAGAAGCAAGTAGCTGAATCATCATTAGTCACAGAAGAGATGATGTCCCCAAACTGATATTTCTCTTAGCGACCTGAAGGCTTGAATGAATTACTGAACTCAGTACCAATGCAGATCAAATCTCCTTGGAATAATTAAGGAGCATTACTGACAAACATTTGTGTACATTCTAGTCAACACTTAAAGTAACACTAAATTATAAAATATTTATCATGTATTCTGAGAGCTTCATGACACTGTATTTTTAAGATTAAAGATTAGCCCAACACATAATTTAATAATGAATGCAAATTATAAATGAATATTTAACAAACCATACCACATTTTACGTCTTAACATCTCTTCTGCCAGTGGTATGACTGAATGAAAAATGGCTCCATGATGTATTGTCCTGCTGCCTAATGCTCCAGTGGAAACAAGGTGTTTTCACCTTGATGCGGCCTTTAAAATAAATTAATTTGTTAACATTTAAAAATGCAGTGTAACTGATGACATAAAACATTTATAAGACAGTTTATGACCCAACCAACCATGTTCTAATCCAATAATATTTATTAAAACATTTTATTTGACTAATCATTTCATGGCCAAGATTTGGAAATGTTTGTTTTTCAGGTTGAGTCAAGGATTTAAATGGTTCTAATGGTACCATAAAGATGTTATATGGTGTTAATATAACCTGAGTATTAAAAATATAATGAATTTGCTATTTATGAACCATTAAGTTTTGCCTCGCCCCCAGAATAAATTTTATATCATTACAGACCGATTAATACATCCTCTTTGTTTTTCCATCTTCCCTAGGATATACACATTCACAAGCCAAATTTATAGATACATAAAAATAAGTCAGAATTTTTTTTATTCTGGAAAGTATGTTGCATTGAACAGAGGATATAAAATGGTACTTTTTTCACTTCAAGTTTTCTTCATAGTTATCACCTCAGTGTTTCTAAGCTAGGAATCACTCCATGTATTAATAAAACATGGGTCACATAAGCATCTTCATTCTAGTAGAAGTTTTTAACTCCTCTGCTAAATTAAAACCAGGCAAGAAAGCTTTCTTTCTTATTTCTTATTGAAAATTAAAGAATGTTAGATTTTTCCAACTATGCACACCATTTAAACTTAGCAACTCTGGGACTTTAATAACGTAGTTATTCTAACTTTTAAAACATTTGTATATACAAACATATTTGCCAGTAAGACATTGGAAATATTCTCAAAATCTAGCTATGGAGTAACTCTGGACCATCTGCTAGATAGAATATTATGTAGCCATTAAAAATCTTGTCTTTGAAAGTGAAATAAGCCAGGAACAGAAAGTTAAGCACCACATGTTCTCACTCATATATGGAAGCTTAAACAAATGAACAAACAAAAAGTTGATCTCATAGAAGTAAAAAGTAGAAAAGAGGCTACTAGAGGCTGGGAAGGGGTGGGAGAAGGGCAGGATAGGAAGAGATTTGTTAAAGGATACAAAATTACACTAGATAGGAGGAATAAGTTCTAGTGTTCTCTAGCACTGTAGAATGACTATAGTTAATACTAATATATAGAAATTCAAATATCTGGAAGGAGGATATTAAGTTTTCCCAATACAAACAGATGATGAATGTTTGAGATGCTGGATATGCTAATTATCCTGATTTGATCACTATACATCATGTATAATCACCTCCCTATGTACTCCATAAATATGCATGATTATTATGTGCCAATTAAAAAAATTTTTTTGAGACGAAGTTTCACTCTTGTTGCCCAGGCTGGAGTGCAGCGGCATGGTCTTGGCTCACTGCAACCTCTGCCTCCTGGGTTCAAGCATTTCTCCTGTCTCAGCCTCTCAAGTAGTTGGGATTACAGGCACCCACCATCACGCCCAGTTAATTTTTTGTATTTTTAGTAGAGATGGGGGTTTCACCATGTTGGCCAGGCTGGTCTCAAACTCCTGACCTCAGGTGATCCACCCACCTCAGCCTCCCAAAGTGTTGGGATTACAGGCATGAGCCACCACGCTGACCTAAAAAAAATTATTAATCTTGTCTTTGAATCATACTTAAGACCATAGCAAATGTATATTCTAAGCTAACCATATTAATTCAAATTCAAAAAGATATAACACTAGGGCCGAGCGAGGTGGCTCACACCTGTAATCCCAACACTTTGGGAGGCTGAGGAGGGTGGATTACTTGATTACTTGAGCCCAGGAGTTCAGGCCAGGTTTGGCAATATGGTGAAACCCCATCTCTATAAAATATACAAACATTACAAACATTAACCAGGTGTGGTGGAATGGGCCTGTAGTCCCAGATACTTGGGAGGCTTAGGTAGGAGGATCACTTGAGCCCAGGAGATGTAAGTTGCAGGAAGTTGTGATCATGCCACTACACTCCTGCCTTGGTGACAGAGCAAGACCTGGTCTCAAAAAAAAAAAAAAAGATATAACACTAAAGTGAAAGAAAAAGTAAGGCAGGACATTGAATCTGGTGCTTGAGGAGAACTACATAAAAGTAAGTGTTCTAAAATACGATGACAATAAAAAGGAAGTATGAGTAGTTGCTATTATTATCAATGAGATCATATATGTAGTTGGTTTTTGTTTTTGTTTTTTTGAGACAGACTGTCACTCTGTTACCCAGCCTGGAGTACAGTGGCACAATCACGGCTCACTGCAGCCTCAACCGACTGGGCTCTGATATCCCACCTCAGCCTCCTGGGCAGCTGAGGCTACAGTCAGTCGTACACCACCATGCCCAGTTAACTTTTTGTATTTTTTATAGAGATGGGTTTTCACCATGTTGCTCAGGCTAGTCTCGAACTCCTGGGCTCAAGTGATCCAACCATCTCAGCCTCCCAAAGTGCTGGGATTACAGGCATGAGCCGCTGCACCTGTCCGCATATATGTAGTTTATAAGATAATTTAAAACAAAATATTTTTAAAGATGAAGAGTTTGAATTAATACTGCTAGCTTACAATATGCATTTTCTTCACCCTTCTGCTTTCCTTGCAGTATATGGAGATAGTCTGAATTTAGACATGATGCTTACATATTATTGTTCTTAGGGTAGCTCTTTCATTGGTATTATATAAAATTGCATCGTCCCAAAATGAAAGTGGAAAGTCACTGTAATAAGGAGAATGATAGTTAGGGTGGCATCACCAGGCATCATAAAAGGGATCATCTTGATTGTTGTGCACTTGTTCATTTCAAGACCACATTTATCGGCCATTTGTTTTTCCTTTCCTATAGTCTCTCTCTGCTGCCGTTCTCCCTCCTGCAGATATTTTCATTTCTTCTGCAAAGAGGAGGACTAAAACTGCAGTTTTAGGTGATTTTCAACTTACATAATCTTTCTTCAAGGTTTTCCTCAGGTTTACCCTATACTTGCCAATGATAAAAGATTCCCTCAGTTCATAAGAGGATGGATGAAGTGGGGGCTGATGGGAAGGAAGGATCCAGGTATTTTTCAAATTTTCTTTAAACAGGAGAAGTAGAAGCTTGCTGTGCTGACGAACATTAAGAACGTTCAACTAGAATGTTTTAGCTTCGTTAATATAGAGACAACAGAGATCTCGTGGGATTCTTGGGAGAACTGAGGGAAGTTAATGCAAGTGAAGCATATGAAACCAGGCAGGCTTCCTAGTAAGTGCTCAGTAAATATTACCCAGCATCTTCTGCATAATCACCAATATCAGCAGTTGCTGCTTTTTTTTTTCCTTGCCTGCAAGATCAAAAGGGAAATCACAGTCTCACCCCCAAAATGCTAGAATTTTTCACTGATTCTCTGTCATCAATTTATTTTCTCTCTAAAGCTCAAACCACTCTAACAATGAAATTCTGTGCTTTAAAAATTCAAGCAAATGAGCAGATTTTAACAACTACAATTGCAAAAAGTTGGATGCTTTTCCAGAAGTGCTTATAAAACTGGTAAGCAAAGGAGTAGATAAAATCAAAACAAAAAATCTGTTCTTATCACATTTAGTAAGGGCAGTGCTGGCTTTACTGATGACTTCAGTAGTCAGAAACCTGGATGACATTCATCTCCCTCCCCACTACCCGCACTCCCAAAAAGAGGAATACCCACCTGTATCAGAGTATCACTGTGTCCCGATCTTATTCCCATGCTTCAGTGCCGTAACTCATCACACCAGAGCTGTTGCTTGATTACTCATCCAATATCTATTTTTCACCCTGCAATAGATCCATACAAGGGACCAGGGCAGGGTTTGGCCAGAGATTTCCTACAAATCCTTAACCTAGGGAAAGCAACACTTTTCAGGTTTAAAGTCAGGGTACGGTTTGGCCGGGTGCCGGTGGCTCATGCCTTTAATCCCAGCACTTTGGGAGGCTGAGGTGGGCGGATCACAAGGTCAAGAGATCGAGACCATTCTGGCCAACATTGTGAAACTCCGTCTTTACTAAAAATACAAAAATTAGCTGGGTGTGGTGGCACATGCCTGTAGTCCCGGCTACTCTGGAGGCTGAGACAGGAGAATTGCTTAAACCTGGAGGTTGCAGTTAGCTGAGATTGCACCACTGCACTCCAGCCTGGGCAACAGAGTGAGACTCTGTCAAAAAAAAAAAAAAAAAAAGTCATGGCAGGGTTTGACAGATGGAGCCGCCAATTTCTATCAAAGCTTATTAGGTGTGGGAGTCACAACAGGATGGTGTCAACCCCAGGATATCAGGTCCCAAATGAAACCCAACTTTCTTTGCTGTTTCAGAAGCCACCTAGAAAGTAGAAATGGGAAGTAAATTCACTATGTCCCCTTTGTCAATTAGCAAACTTTCTAAATGCTTTTTGTCTGCCCTTGAATTTGGACGTCCCCTTTTCTGCAGTCAGCCTGGAACATTTATAAAGTGGAAGCCACTGAACTGTCTAAAGGCCTTTAGAAAATTGTCTAAGCATCTTTGCAATTGCCTCTTTCCTTCCAACCCTACCCCCACCTCACCCCTCAGATGTGGACCACACACTGCTATGCCATAAGCATCAAACATTTCCCACTTGTGATTTTATGCCAAATCATAACCATGATTCAGAACACTAAAGGACTCTGTTTCATTCTAGCCTAGTTTCCTGGAAACTACATACAGTGATAGTTTCTTTTTTGTTTTTCAGAGTGGAGGAAGAAGAGAATCACCACATATCATATTTAGAGGTCCTGCAGAAAGGGCAGAGCGAGTTTCATGTTTGAGTGCAACGGATGCATGGGCAAAGCATCGCACAGCCGCTCCATGGAAGTGACAATGAGCCTTGTCTTTCACACGTAACTCCAGGAACCAGGGGAAACAAAACCAATTCCACCCAGAGGTACAGACAAAGAAGAGCACCCTCCCAAAGGAGCCCGCATGATAAGTGGCCACGGCGAACATCACTGTGATCAGTCAGAAAGGCAGGCAAGTTATTAGCTTAGCCCTGAACCTCCTACTTAATGTAGAACCAGTGGTGATGGTTAACAGACCCTGGCTGCAGTGACAAGCCTGGGACCTGCTCGAGGAAATCCAATTGAAAAGCAGCCAAGAGGAACAACAAGCTAGAAACAGATGTTCCAGCTACCAGGATGTGCACACATTTAACCTGAATATGTAGTTGGGGTGGGATGGGAGCATTCGTTTCTAAATATAGTGATTTCACCTCTTCCCCCATATAGATATTGTCAAGTTCAATTACAGCCATCCACATTAGTTTTGTCAAATTTTCAGCAATTTCTTTAAAATAAGAAGATGTCAGAATGATAACTGCTATTAAGGGAATTCAGGGTGTTTGATTTATCCACCCAGTCTTACTAAAACATTTCAGTTAAATCATCCACTCTTAAACTCCAGTCTCATAGCAATTAAAAATTGTTTTTCAAAAAATTGCCCAAATGAAATTCCAACAGTTCATGTAGTTATTTGATTTAATATTATCATGTTGGCAAAATACCTTTAAGATGGTTATATTTTCATGAGTCACTTTCTTAGTCACTTCTAGTTCCTAAATAGGGGAGTTTGGGTTGACAGAGGTGTGATTACCATGCAAACAGGGGCTAGAATATAAGCTTGACAGAATCAGTTAATTAGATTTGAAAGAGAGTCGAGTCTTGTGAACCACAGTGATATGTCATGTACATTAGGAAACATTCTCCTTTACGTCAACACAATTCTGGTTTTCTCTAATGGGCTTTATACGAGGAGAGAGACCATCTCACTGTGTTGATTTTTCTCAAGAAAAAAATCAATACTCTCAATGGATTTTAAGTAGATCTAATGTAGTACTGCACTGTACTCATAAGAAGATAAGCATATGTAAAAGATTTTAGAATGTGAATTAATGCATGCCACACTGAAACCACACCATACCCCAAACTCATGTTGTTATTATGTGTACCTAAAGCAAAGAACAGCTGCAGAGTATTTTCTCTGGTACCACTTCATTTTTTATTGGTAGGTTTTAATCCGATACATTTTTGGGATCACTGAATTCTTATTTGCTTTAGAATGCCCGATTATATCATTCTGCAAAGGATAAAAGGGCTTGAGCCATCATCCTGGGCTGAAATTTATTGAAGGTATTTATGAAGAGGGTGATCTTGAAGAATGCAAGCTTTTAAAATCTAAGAACAGCAGCAAAAATAAATTAATCAAGAATCCATCACTAATTTATACATGAGTCACTTACAAGGAAGGTAAAACGGTTCAGTAAATTATGGATTTACAAATAAACTTGATTCTAGGGCCTTGGAAAATACTTCAGTTGGAATAGAGATCCATTTTTCCTCAAAACAATTTTCACTTCAACTTCAGATGTAGGGGACATAAAACCAAATCCCCTCTCTGAAAATTCAAGGGGAACCCTTTTCTGGTAACGTGAGGCATGAGTGGTGATGGTTCACAGGGATTCAGCTGCTCTCCACAAACTCAGGGGTGGGACCCGTCTATCGTTTTTCTAACTCATTCCCATGAATTCTAAATTGTCAACACCTAAGGTTAATGATACCTGTCTTTTTGCTGTCATAAACAGTTAGGGCGGGTTAGCAAGAGATAAATCATCTCCACACAGAGGATTGTGCTATTGTTCTCAGCAAACAAAGGACAAAGCTTATTTCTGTATAATGTTAAACATTGTTCTAATGGAATAGGCTTTTTTTTTTCTTTTATGCATTAATGAAATTATTAGCTTACAACACGTTTCTTTCTTGATTTGGAACATCTATTCTTCAAAAGTTTGTAGAGTAATAATAGAGAGTTTCTATGCATGATGGCTCATTCTCATCTCAAAATATGCACTGATTTTTAAGGAATGTGCAGAAGGAAAAGCCAACCATCCTTCTGATTATTGGATAACCACCAGATCTGCCTTCATCTGAAACAGACTCCACTCGATTGAGGATGATACTTTTAGCTACTAAATAAATACACAGAGGAGATGTGGAATAACAACTCTAGCAAGAATAGCCAACAAGTTCATCTTACAATGACTAACTATGAGCAAAAAGTGTTCATGAAAAATCTGTTTTTGTTTTTGTTTTTGTTTCTTTTTTTGAGATGGAGTTTCACTCTTGTTGCCCAGGCTGGAGTGCAGTGGCATGATCTCAGCTCCCTGCAACCTCCACCTCCCAGCTTCAAGCGATTCTCCAGCCTTAGCCTCCAAGTAGCTGGGATTACAGGCACCCACCACCACACCCAGCTAATTTTGTACTTTTAGTAGAGACGGGGTTTCGCCATATTGATCTCGAACTCCTGACCTCAGGTGATCCACCCACCTCCGCCTTCCGAAGTGCTGGGATTACAGGCATGACCCACCATGCACGGCCCAAAAGCTATCTTATTAAAGAAAAAAAACAATTTTTTCACCCCTTTAAATATTAAATAATTGATTTTTTCTGAAAATATTTCTTATACAATTCAATAAGCACACTAATTTTAGAGGAAGGATCATTAATGCTGTAACATAAAATTGGAAATATTTGCTATTATATGTTTTTAATACACACTAGGTACATATTAAATACTATATCTGTGTGATAGTTAAACATATTAGGTAGTTCATTAGGTTCATTTAAAATTGGCTGAGCTCAGGAGCTCACGCCTGTAATCCCAGCATTTTTGGAGGTCTAGGCAGGTGAATCACTTGAGGTCAGGAGTTCAAGACCTGCCTGGCCAACATGGTGAAACTCCATCTCTACCAAAAATCCAAAAATTAGCTGGGCATGGTGGCATGTGCCTGTGGTCCTAGCTACTTGTGAGACTGAGGCAGGAGAACTGCTTGAATCCAGGAGGCAGAGGTTGCAGTGAGCCAAGACTGTACCACTGCCCTCCAGCGTGGGCAACAGAGTTAGACTCCGTCTCAAAAAAATAAAATAAGGCCAAGGGCTTAGCAACAACATAATATAATGTGCTTAGGTATAATTTTACTATTTTAAGAGAGAACATGCTTGAGCTAGGAACCATTGAGAGTAGGAGATGGTGGCAATAGTCAGTCAGTTGTGCTACAAATATATTGCGATGGAAAATATACACTACGAAATTTTACAAAACTAGCAAACAAAAAACGTTTTTTGTTTTTTGGTTTTTTTTTGAGACCGAGTCTTGCTCTATCACACAGGCTGGAGTGCACTGGAACAATCTCAACTCACTGCAACCTCAGCCTCCCAGCTTCAAGCAATTCTCGTGCCTCAGCCTTCTGAGTAGCTGGGAGTATAGACATGTGCCACCACAGCCGGCTAATTTTTATATTTTTAGTAGAGATAGGGTTTCTCCATGTTGGCCAGGCTGGTCTTGAACTCCTGGACTCAAGTGATCCACCCTCGGCCTTCCAAAGTTCTAGGATTACAGACGTGAGCCACCGCGCCCAGCCAGCAAACAAAAATTTACCTGTGATTCAATAAATGGTTTTCCCCTACCAGCCTTTCCCCACCATGCATATACACTTTTTCTGAATCTGTTTCACCATAATGATGACACAGGTGCTTAACCAGCTCCGTGAGCTGTTGGGGTGGCTCTTTGCCTTGATTTAGTCCTGTGCCCACACACTGACCCATGCAGACTTAGCCATGCATCCAGCACAAATTATGCCGTTTTATATTTTTGGTTTAATGTATTCGTACCTGCTAGACATTGTAGCCAAAAGATTGTTTGCTGCCTAATCTTAGCCAGCTCTTAGGGTGGCTGCCTAAGCCTGTATTGCTGGCTTCACAAGTTTTTGTGTTTTCAGGTAAATAAAAATCAAAGTGTGTTCAAGGCAGCCGCATTGACTCACTTTGCAGACAGGCAAGCAGAACTGCAGAGCTGTGACCCAGCAGCTCACAGCTGGGGCTGGATTGGAATCCAGGGCTTTGCAGGCTTCCTGCTTCACTCAGTCCTCTTTTTGTTGCCTCTGGCCTCAAGCTGTTGGCCTGGGAGGAAGTAGCAGATTAAATTCCATGGGCAGGAAGTCCCTAGCTGACGAATACTTACTATGTTGCAATTTTACAGTGAAAGTTGGCAAGTCCAGGGTGGGAACATACCTCAAGCAGCTGGAGTCTTAGGGATTTTACTTCTGTTCTTTACCTCTCAATTTTTGATTTTGTTATATAAAAAGCAAATCAGTAACTATTGCATTATATTCTGCAGTGACTCAACAGCGACACTTACTCAGCCAACCAAGAATTTATTGAACCGCTGGTGGTGCTGGGAACCGTGCTAGGCGCTAGGATAGGATACAGGGACCAACCAACCAGTCCTGCTCATTAGCTTAGCCAGAGAGGTAAACTGACCGACAGTCAATCTGCCAGGGATCAATTACTGTGGAAGCTCATAGTGTCGGCCCCTACCCCAGACTTGGGGTCTGAGGAGGCCTCCTGGAGGGAGTGCTATCCTAACAGAGACCTGACGGGTACTTGGAATCCAGCTACAGAATACTATTTACCATCTCATTTTACTCTCATGAGAATTCTCCCCACTGTAGGCAGGATGGGTGTTGATTTAAAAAAAAAAAAAAAAAAGGTAGCCCAGCGGGTGGCTCACACCTATAATCCCAGCACTTTGGGAGGTTGAGGCGGGCGGATCACCTGAGGTCGGGAGTTTGAGACCAGCCTGACCAACATGGAGAAATCCCATCTCTACTAAAAATACAAAATTAGCCGGACGTGGTGTCGCATGCCTGTAGTCCCAGCTACTTGGGAGGCTGAGACAGGAGAATCACTTGAACCCAGGAGGCAGAGGTTGCAGTGAGCCCAGATTGTGCCATTGTACTCCAGCCTGGGCAACAAGAGCAAAACTCCGTCTCAAAAAAAAAAAAAAAAACCAGAATAATAAGCTTAAGGGTGGCCAATATTAGAGCTGGGATGGAACCCTGATGTCCAATGAGCTCCCTGTAGAGTGGTCTTTGTACAGGACCATGTTCTCCTAAAGTGGCTGGAGAGCAGGAGCCACCTGTCACTCAATGCAGCAGCAAGGACCCTCCCAGCCAAATCCCACCTCTACCTCCCATCCTACTGGAGTCTCTTTCCCTTCATCTTGGTCTACTTGAGTAGAGAGGGTCCTAGTTGGTGCAAACATTCTATGACTTATGACCCAGATAGTCCTGCCAGGCCACACAGAAGTGTATTCTGCACCCAGCGGTCCTCAAGACAGACCTAGGCTCTCAGTTCCTGCAAGGCACCCCTAGAGGACAGGCTGTCAGCAGTAGCCAGCACCCTGCACAGGGCCACTTTTGTAGCCTCCACCTGCCTGCTCATGCCCTTTTTCTCTCCTTGGCCTTCTCCACCCTGAATGCTTATGCAAGCATGCCCACCCTCCTTCCCAGCCCCTCTGTACCCACTGACACACACTCAGCTCCCAGCCTTCACCCTCTCTCCCACCTCTTGTGGTGAGTTCTGAGCCTCTCCATGGCCATCCTCCTAGCCCAGGCCATCCTCCCGGCCCAGCCTTTCCAGCCCATGGCCAGCCTCCCGGCCCAGGCCATCTTCCCAGCCCATCCTCTCCAGCCCATGGCCATCCTCCCAGCCTAGCCCAGTTTCTCCAGCCCAATAGCTCTACTTCCAGCTCAGCCTCTCCATGGCCATCCTCCCAGCCCAGGCCATTCTCCCAGCACAGGAGTATTTCTGGAAATGCTCTCAGTCTGGCATTTCCAGAAAAGGAAAATACAGCCAATGCTGAGAGGCTCAAAGGTCGCTCAGTTCAGACCTACAGGAATGTTTTCGTTTTATTTTTTTACTTGGGATCTTTCAACCAGTCAGCCTGATGCTCTTGTTTGATTTCCATGTTTGTTGTAGTGAAATACAGATAATCAAAAAGTTATTCTACATGATGAGCTGTTCCTCCTTCTTCTTTACAGTTTCTCCATTTTCCAAAATTTCCAATCAAGATGTGTTGCTTTTATAATCATAAAATGTTAGTGTATTCTGACAGAAATATAGGAATTATTAAGACTTTTTTCTAGGTGGTAGAATTATGGGTAACTGTTTTTTCTTTGTTCTATATATTTCCAAATCATCTAAAATCAACATATATTGCATTTAGGTTTGTGTGTGAGGGTTTTCTCCCCCATTTTTAAACTTGTGTGTGGTTTCTTCGTTTGTTTGTTGTTTTCTTTTTTTCAGATGGGGGATCTCGCTATGTTGCCTAGGCTGGTCTCGAACTCAAGCAACCCTCCCACCTCAGCCTCCCAAGCACCTGGTGAGGGTTTTTTCTAAAAAGGAAAAACATGTGGAAGACAATCAGAGATGATTTTTGAGTAATGAAGAACAACTCCAAAAGAATAAGCAGAATGAATGCTCATAAGGTGAAAGCATTTCGGAAAACCTATTACAAGCAACGATGGAAGAAAATAGATTGAAACTGTGCCTGCCTCCCCTGACACTCTCCACCTTCATCTGAGGTTTGTGATCCACAGACTCGAGCCATCATGGACCACGTCTTCAGAGTCCCACACTATTGTCTGCATGATTTATACAAATGCAAAGCCTACTATTACTTAAATGGTGAAAGAAATATAGGAAGCAGAGACTGTGCTATATCGAAATGTATCTTTCTCTGCTACCACTGTTTTACTTCATGCTGTGTAGACCTGCCACTAAGCATTTTCATAGTTGAGAGAGCCAGAGACACAGAAAGAGAAATTATGGTCAAATTATGGCACCATACCATTAATGTACAAGAGATTGGTGCCGCTACTGTATGATTACTACTTTTAATATGATTTTCACTTTTCATCTTGTAAGATACTGTGAATTTACTGCTGAGCCTGTGTACTGCTACTCTCCCAAAGAGAAAATTACTTCTTCCAGAGGATCTGCTTGCACAAGCGTAAAATCTTTGCAGCTCTCTGAGCAGCAAGAGAACCACATCAGACTTGATACGCTGATTTGGCTCTTTTGAGTTACCTGTTCCAGAGAATTTTGGGCAGGGATTTTTCCAGCATGTCATTTTCTTTATATGTTCTTTTCTTTGTATTTATATCCATTCACATCATCAAGTGTCTTATTGAGTACCTCTTAATTGCAAATGATCTTAGTGGCTGCTGTGAGAGACACATGGATTCTACTACAGGGTGCTTGGTTTAGAGAAACTTGTAAGCACCAACTGATATCTAGGGGGAAAACAAGCAGAGAGAACAGGAAGTGCAAAGGCTCTCAGAAAGAAATGAGCAAGGCCAACAGGGTTGGGAAGATGAAAGTAGAGGAGATGAGAATGAAGAGGTGGGTAGGGGTGCAGTATTGTAATATGTGAGGAGCTGAATTATATTCTAAATGTGATGAGAAGCCATTTGAAAGCTTTGAGCAAGGGAATAAGGGCATCTGATTTTTTTTTTTAATCCCTCTAGCTATGAGAATAGGCTATAGGGGACTAAGAGCAGAAGCGAGGAGACCAGTTAGTAGGACGCAACTGCAGACATTTAGGCTGGAGAAGACAGTGACTTGGACTAGGGTGCTGGTGTGAAGGTCACTGAGGTATGTGGAGACTGGAAGGCACGGAGTCGGAGGACTTGTCTTCTAACTCCATGGTACTGCTCCAGATGATTAACAGGCACTCAGAAGGAACTCGATAAACATGTCTTCATGAATGTATGGTACCCACCCCCTCACTTAGAAGTAGGAGCTAAGCTATGAGTATAAAAAGGCATTAGAATGAGATAATGGGCTTTGGGGATTCAGCGGGGAAAGGGGTGAGGGAGGTGAGGAATAAAAAACAACACATTGGGAACAGTACATACTGCTCAGGTGAAAGGTGCAGCAAACTCTCAGAGATCACCACTAAAGAACTGATACATGTAACAAAAAAATCACCTGTTCCCCAAAAACTTTTGAAAATTAAAAATATATATATTAAGCAACCCAATAGGAATGCTCCACTGATTGTAAATATTTTCTTTCTTTCTTTTCTTTCTTTTTCTTTCTTTCTTTCTTTCTGTCTTTCTTTTTTTTTTTTTTTTTTTTTTTTTTTAGATGGAGTTTCGCTCTTGTCACCCAGGCTGGAGTGCAGTGGCACAATCTCAGCTCACCACAACCTCCGCCTCCCGGGTTCAAGTCATTCTCCTGCCTCAGCCTCCCAAGTAGCTGGGATTACAGGCATGTGCCACCACATCTGGCTAATTTTGTATTAGTAGAGATGGGGTTTCTCCATGTTGGTCAGGCTGGTCTTGAACTCCCAACCTCAGGTGATCCACCCACCTTGGCCTCCCAAAAGTGCGGGGATTACAGGCATGAGCCACCGCGCAAGGCCTTTTTTTTTTTTTTTTTTTTTTTTCCAAGTTGGAGTTTCAATCTTGTTGCCCAGGCTGAAGTGCAATGGTGCTATCTGAGCTAACTGCAGCCTCTGCCTCCTGTGTTCAAGCGATTCTCCAGCTTCAGTTTCCCAAGTAGCTGGGATTACAGGCACCTGCCACCGCACCCGGTTAAAAACTTTTTAAAATAGAGACGTGGTCTCACTACGTTGCCCAGGTTGGTCTCAAACTTCTAGGCCCAAGCGATCCACCCACCTCAGCCTCCAAAGTGCTGGGATTACAGTCATGAGCCACCGCACCCAGCCTCTGTTTGTAGATATTTCAATTAGAGAAAAATATAAAATTTCAAGCCCATCAACCAGTTCTGCTCTATAATAATCAAAAACTATCTTTGCAATAAAAAAAGTTACCAAAAAAAAAAAAAAAAAAAAGTACTTACCCCTAGAATCACTCTCAAATGTGAGATCAGGGAACTCCCTCTAGACTCCAGGGTGCCTGAGCGGCCACATGGATTTTAGACTCTCCTGGCTCAGCTTCACCACCTGATGCTCTTCCCTTCCACCTAGAGCTTTTCGCAGCCCACAAAAGATGTGCTCCATGATTCCAAAACAGAAAGCCTTTTGGTTAGGAGAGAACCCTAAGGCAGCAAAGTCAGTCCTCAATCAGAATCCCTCATTCACTAGCACTCTTTAGAAGTAGAAATCATTGGGACTACCAAATGCTTCTGAAAAAGTTCTGTGATGCATCCAAAGATCACCCCAGTAGTTTGTTTGCCTTAAATGTGTTTGTTAAAACATAAAAACTGTATGTCTACATAAGTGATTTTCAATCCTAGCTGCATATTAAAAATCCCTGAAGAGCCTTTAGAATAGGTCAGCCTTCAGGCTCCACCCCATTCCAAGTCTGTCAGAATCTCTGGCATGAGGCCCTGGCGTCGGTCGTATTTAAAAGCTCCCAGGTGATGCTTATGTACGTCAGGTGGAGGGGCGCTGCTGTATGTGAAGTGAGTCATTTTCCTATCTGCCCTTCACCGCAGGACATGAGTAATCCTGTGAACCAGCCACAGCTGATGACAGCGTTCAGCATTCTACATGGAGGTCAAATCCCCCAACCCCCACCTTTTAAGCACTTGAGAGACTTGCTCGGAAAACTTATACTACAAATGTATTCTAAAATTTGGGGCTTAGGAGTGGACAGCCCCCAGTAGCTCAATGTTTTATTACTCCTGCCTTAGTCACCCACTTCTTCTTTCTCTCTGCCTTGCTCTTTCTCTTCTCCTCCCTCTGCTGTCCCTCCCACTCTCTTCCATCAACCTCTCTGACACCTGCCCTTGGCACTGTAGGCAGGCTGCCCACCTGGAGGTTCCAGGCTGCAGAAATCAGCTCTTAGGAGAAGGTCTGGATAAAAAGTGGAACTTGCGGAAAGGGCATAGCATTTATAAAATTTCTTGCTTTACTGCAAAAATACGTGCTTCACTGCTTTGGAAAACAGTCTGGCAGTTCTTCAAAGGTAAAACATGGGCCAGGCATGGTGGCTTATGCCTACGATCCCAGCACTCTGGAAGGCTGAGGCAGGGGATTGCTTGGGAGTTGGGAGTTACAGTGAGCTGTGAGTTTGGGTGCACTGGGTACAACGTATGCTGCTCGGGGAACAGGTGCATTAAAATATCAGAAATCATGGTTAAATAACTTATCCATACAACAAAAAAAAATCACCTGCTCCCCAAAAACAATTGAAAAAATAAAATAAAATAAATAGCAACCCAATAGGAATACTCCACTGATTGTTTGTAGATATTTTGTTTTTGTTTTTTTTTAGATGGGGGTCTCCCTCTGTCATCCAGGCTGGAGTGCAGGGGCATGATCTCGGCTCACTGCAACCTCTGCCTCCCATGTTCAAGCGATTCTCCTGCCTCAGACTCCCAAATAGATTGGACTACAGACATGTGCCAACACGCCCGGCTAATTTTGTATTTTTAGTACAGACAGGGTTTCACCATGTTGCCCAGGCTGGTCTCAGAGTCTCAACCTCAAGTGATCTGTCTCACCCCTCAGGGCACCCAGCCTCATTTTTTTTTTTTTTTTTTAAAGAGGCGTGGTCTCTCTGTGTTGCCCAGGGTAGGTCTGGTCTCCAAGTCCTGGGCTCGAGCAATCTGCCCACCTCTGCCTCCCAAAGTGCTGGAATTGGGGAGGGAGTTTGAGGTTGCAATGAGCTATGATTGCATACTGCACTGCAGCCTGAATGACAAAGCAAGGCTCTGTCTCAAACAAAAAAAAAAAAAAAAGAAAAGGTGAAACATGGAGGTATCATATGGTCCAGCAACTCTACTCCTTGGTAGGTACCCAGGCTAAGTAAAAATATATATCCACACAGAAATGTATACACCAATGTGCATAGCAGCATTATTCATAATATTCAAAAAGTGAAAACAATTCAAATGCTCATCAACTGATGACTGCATAAACAAAATGTGGTATATCCACACACTGAAATATTATTCATTGATAAAAAGCAATGAAGTACTGATACATGCCACAACTTGGATGAACCTTATAAAAATTATGCTAAGTGGGCCAGGTGCACTTTGGGAGGCCGAGACAAGTAGATCACCAGGTCAGGAATTTAAGACCAGCCTGGCCAACATAGTGAAACCCTGTCTCTATTAAAAATACAAAAAAAATTAGCTGAATGTGGTGGCAAGAACCTGTAATCCCAGCTACTCGGAAGGCTGAGTCAGGAGAATCGCTTGAACCCAGGAGTGGGAGGTTGCAGTGAGCCGAGATCGCACCACTACACTCCAGCCCAGGTGACAATGCGAGACTCCGTCTAAAAAACAAACAAACAAAATTATGCTAAGTGAAAGAAGTCAGTCATAAAAGTTGACATATTGCTGAGCGTGGTGGTGTGCGCCTGCAGTCCCAGCAACTTCGGAGGCTGAGGTGAGAGGATCACTTGAGCCCTGGAGTTCCAGGCTGTAGTGCACTATAGTTGTACCACTGCACTCCAGTAGGGGTGGCGAAGTAAGACCTTGTCTCAAACAAAACAAAACAAAAAGTTGACAAATTCTATAATTCTACTTCTGTGAAATGTCCAGAATAGGTAAATCTATAGAGACAGAAAGGAAATTAGTGATGGTCAGAGGCTGAGGGTAGGGAAGAATAGGGAGTGATTACTAATGGGTACAGTTCATTTGGGATGATAAAAATGTTCTAAAATTGATGGTAGTGATGTGATGGGTGCACAACTAAAATACACCCAATACCACCGAACTGTACATTTTTAAAAGGACAGATTATATGGTAAGTGCGTTATATCTTACTAAAGCTGTTAAAAGTAAAATATGTATTTCAACAGCAGAAAACTGCGAATGCTGAAATGATCGTATTTTTAAAAAATCATCTAGTTTCTAAAAGAGTGTTGACTGGGCTATTATAGTCATAGCAGTAGGCATTATAACACAAAGAGATATGATCAATCACCTCTAGAAATATTTTCCTTAATTACAGAAAGTACAACAACCTTTGCATGCATTCTTTGAGCATTTTATAAATTCTTTTTCATCTTCCTACTTTAATAATGACTCTTCCTTTTCAATAACAAAGAGTTTTCTGTACTTGTCTCACTAATTTTCACAGCCTCCACTTCCAGGCACTCATGGAACCTTAACCCTTCTTACAAAGGAGATCAAGGGGTTTGGTGTTTTAAAGACCCTGCTCCGAGGCACACGGCCAACTCCAGTCCCAAGTGACATCCTCACCCCAAATCTGCCCACCTGCATTCACTGAGCCCCACACTAGGGCCACAAGGGATTTTGTGGGTCCCCGACTCAGTGCCACATTAAACTCCCAGCTTTGCAGGATTTCTCCCTCTAAATGTCTCCCCACTAACTTCCCCCCACCCTCCGTGCCTCTTCCAGGTCAGCTCGCCAGAGTTTTCCCAAATTGTTCCAGAAGCTCCGTGATCCACTTCAGTCACTTCTCCTCAGAATACTCCTGGAGCTGAGAGTTTTGGAATCGCCCTCAGTTTCTTCACAGATTTCTCCTTTGCTGGACCCTCCACCGGCCCTCCCCACAGCCCATCCGAGAGGTTTTGAGCAACCTGTTCCTCTTCTAAGCACCTCACATCGATGACCTCAGTGACACTTCCCCACAGCCCTTTGAGGCACTGTATCTCATCATCATCTCTGTTTTATGAAGTGAAAACTGAGAGCACCTGGAGATGAAGTCATTTCCCAAGGTCACACATCTAGGAAAGATGGAGTCAGGACTTAGCCCTGATTGGTTTGGCTCAGAGCACACATTTTAACCCCATGCCTCCTGCCATGAAGTGCCCTGTGTGTTAAAAGTCTACCAGGTGCTGGGCACTGTTCTGAGTTCTTTACATGCATTTACTCACAACACTCCTCTCAGATACTTCCATCAGAAAATAGCAAAGTTTAAATGGTGGACATCCTCATAAAACCAAGCCTACTGGGCTTGGTCAGGAAGACCTGGAAATCCTCACTTATCCAAAAAATACTTAATAGACACTATGTTCCAGGCATTGCTCTAAGAAATGGGAAAACATCAATCAGTAAAATAAACAAAAATCTTTGCCTTCATAGAACTTACCTCCGTATGAGGTGAGACAGACAATAAATATAGAAAATAAGTAGCCTGGGCAACACGGCAAAACCCCATCTCTACTAAAAACAGGAAAAATTAGCCAAGTGTGGTGGTGTGAGCCTATAGCCCCAGCTACTTGGGAGGCTGAGATGGGAGGATCACTTGAGCTCAGGAGGCAGAGGCTGCAGTGAGCTGTGATTGTGCCACTGCACTCCAGCCTGGGTGACAGAACTATACCTTGTCTCAAGAAGAGACAGGGAGAGAGAGAGAGAGAGAGGAAGGAAGGGAGGGAGGGAAGGAGGGAGGGAGGGAAGGAAAAAAGAAAGAAAGAAAAAGAAAGAAAAAGAAAGGAAGGAAGGAAGAGAAAGAAAGGAAGAGAAAAAACAAGTTATATAGCATGTTAGATAGAAGGTCTTAAGTGCTGCCTAAAAAGGGGTAGCAGGGCCAGGCGTGGTGGCTCAGGTGTGTAATCCCAGCACTTTTGGAGGCTGAGGTGGGCGGATCACCTGAGGTTGGGAGATCCAGACCAATTTGACCAACATGGAGAAACCCCGTGCCTACTAAAAATACAAAATTAGCCAGGCATGGTGGCGCATGCCTGTAATCCCAGCTACTCAGGAGGCTGAATCAGGATAATCACTTGAACCCAGGAGGTGGAGGTTGCAGTGAGCCGAAATCGCACCAGTGCACTCCAGCCTGGGCAACAAGAGTAAAACTCTGCCTTAATAATAATAATAATGGGCGTAGCGGATAGCTCATGCTAATGCATGTTGAGGCCAGGGCTGCAAGTTTTGGAAGCACAGTTACAGTGGGTCTCATGGAAAAGGCAATATTTGACAAAGACTCAAAGGAAGGAGACTTTGGAGAATATCTTGGAAGAGAACCCAGGTAGAGGGAACAGCCAATGCAGAGGCCTGAAATGGGAGTGGAGACGGGGTCTGTGGGGCTGGAGTGGCCTGAGGGATGGGATGAGGAGTAGGAAATAAAGTGAGGGAGGGAAGAGGGCAAAGCAGGTTAACAGCGTCTCCACTTCACTCTGGGAGGCGGGAAGCCACTGGAGGGTTTAGGTTGAAAAATGCCAGTCCACAGAGATTCCTCTGGCTCCTATATGGAGGATAAGCTGCATAGCTGAAGTTAACAGAGGGTGTGAAGAACCTCGTTTTAATCAGTAATTTCAGCTCTTAGAAGGGAAGGGAGTTGCTGACCAGTCGTAAAGCTGCCTCCACCACCTTTATCTGTTTTTCTGTACCTCAACTCCCCCTGGTGGAGAAAAATGGTCATGCGGAAGAAGCAGAAAGGAATTTGCATAATGCCCGGACTGGAAAAGCCAGACTAGGACACTACAGTGCTAGTAATTCCTAAGCTTTTCTTCTGTTTCGTTTCCTAGATTCTGTTTTGAGTATCTTACTCATTTGTTTAATCCCCCAGGGTGCTGTACAGCTATTTCATAAATGTGGATGAGTGAATGAATTTATTAATGAATGAAATGTGGATCAATGAATGAAAGAATGAAATGCTGAATGAATGAATAAGTGCATGGGGGCGTCCATTACACTAAGGGAGAGAAGAGCATTGGTTTATAACAGTCAGTGAAAGGTAGAATGAGAAGCACTTTAAAAAAAAAAAAAAAAAAACTTTTATTTTAGGTTCAGGGGTACATGTGCAGGTTGTTATA